TTGCTGTAACTTAACTGACCATAGAAAAAAATATTCTGACTTGTCTTTGAAAAATGCTCAAAGAAGATAACCATATCTTTAAGCAATTGGCAATGTTATCAATCCTGTTATTTGTGTGAGCAAGTTTTGTAATAAACCTGTTTACAAAATTTGGCTTTGATTGGATCTAACTTGAGATTAAGTTAGGTAAAAAGTCAACATCATTATGAAGGTTTTGAATTGACATACTTTAATCAAAAACTAAAGAAACCTTTACAATACACGTTATGATCCACAAGATTTACTTAAGTCTAGATCATGTTTGCTGTAGGAAGTTAAGCTAACAATAATGAACATTTATAACAAATGAAACTCTGAATAATTACACACACACACACACCTACATATATTGAATATACAAGATTATAAGTACATATTAAAAATATTTACTACATGATAATTTATATTTTAAATATTCAGAAGATTTTAACTATTCATAATATTTTTTTTAATTCATGTATATATATTATAAAAAACTTTTCAGACTCATTGGTATTAGTTATCCATTTCTTCAATGCTAATTTAATACAATTCATTAGTGTGTTTTATTTGAAAGTCTATTTGAGGAACTATGTATTAGAAAATAGAAATATGGACTTCAAATTATAACACATAGACTTTATTGGAGGTAAATATGCTATAAGAATAATAATAAAGAACACATTTGTTAAAAGAACAGATATAGAACTAAAAAACTGAAAGTAACTTAATTATTGATTTTACAAAAGGTGTTTAAAACATTCTCTTTTGTGAAAAAGCCACACGTCCAGTGATTCACACACATGAATTTATTTGTGGGAATTGTAAAGGTGCTTAAAGTGGTGCATTATGACTTGGAAATGGAAAGAAAACAATTACATTTTAACTTTATAAATATTTGAATTGAATTAGCAGATTTATAAATTTTATCAAAAAATAAATGAAAACAATCACACAGTGCTACTTTATTCAAAGAGTTCTTATTAATTTTGGATTTTCTTCTTTGCTTTTTCTTTCCTTTGTTTTTGTTTACTTCACAATTAGTCACAATGAACTAAAGATTTACCACTATTTTGCTCAGTACATTTTCTTAGATAATGCAT